GTGCACCCACACAGCAACAGCAGAGCCACCAACAGCAGAAACTGAACAGTACTGGAAGAACATATGGGAGAAAGAAAAGATACATAAGACCAGTGCAAAGTAGCTGCAGGACCTGAGAGCAGACCACAGCAATCTCCCAGAACAGGAACCAGTCACCATCATGGTAGCAGATATCCAACAGTGGGGCAAGAACATCAAGAGCTGGACAGCATCTGGCCCAAACATGATCCACACCTATTGGCTAAAAAAACTAACACCAGTGCATGAACACCTAGCAGCACAGATGAACCAGCTGCTAACAGCAGGCTCCCACCCAGACTGATTAACACAAGGAAACAGTGCTGATCATGAAAGACACCTACAAGGGAACGGCATCATCCAATTACCAGCCAATAACCTGCCTCCCCAAAACATAGAAAGTCCTATCAGGCATTGACTTCCAGTGGGAACATGGAGGCTTAAACACCTCTCCATGAGAGATGACACTGCAGCTGGATTGGTGGCTGGCAGCAAGCGCTGGCCATCCAACTTGCTCTGGATAAAGGAGGAAGTGAGGAAATCGACCCATTTGGTCTCCTGACAGCCACTCCTCAAAAGCTAATTGCAGAGACTGAAGACTCTGTGAACAGCTCTTGAGTTGAGCGGCTGGGAGGCAGGGGAACCACCTCCATTCACTACTGCTGTGCAGCCTTTAATGGACATTAGAGCCGACCAATTCCCATTTCTTAAACACTTTGGTTTATAACCATTTTTCAGCTTAAGAGAGACTTTCTTTCACAACAGATAAGTAAATCTCTTGGGGCTTATCCTTATTTTTGAGACTATATTTTTAAATGAAGAAATAGAGTTTTAAATTAAGCTGATTAATTTGCAAAAAGTTGGAAGAAAAGTGGAATTTAAAAGAGACTTAAAATTTACTTATAGTATACTTATAGTGAGAAAGGAAGATTTATTTGTTAAAAGTTTATTTTTTCATGAAACTCCATCTGCAGCAATGAGGTTTGTCTTTTCCATGGGAAAGTTACTTGTTTTATTTTTAAATGAAGAAATAGAGTTTTAAATTAAGCTGATTAATTTGCAAAAAGTTGGAAGAAAAGTGGAATTTAAAAGAGACTTAAAATTTACTTATAGTATACTTATAGTGAGAAAGGAAGATTTATTTGTTAAAAGTTTATTTTTTCATGAAACTCCATCTGCAGCAATGAGGTTTGTCTTTTCCATGGGAAAGTTACTTGTTTTGTTCAATTTTGTCTACTGATTGATGGGGCTTCAGAAACAGAGCTAGACTGTAACTTGATTCCTGTGTGATCCTCTGAAGCAAGCACACATGCCTGCAATTTCAGCTTGAAAAGCACCAGAGGGCATGAACTGCAGTTTACTTTCACTTGTAATTAACTGTATCTGGCTATACATTTTACTTGTCTAAACAGAAAGGAAAAAGAAGAAGAAATGGCTAATAGAGGTCCCTTGGAGCAGCCGCTAGAAGATAAAATAACTCCTTTAAGTCTACTCTAGTCAATGTTTGATGAACTAGGAGCTAGATTTAAGTCCCCCCACTTGTGATGGAATGTATTTACGAAGAGGAGGGTGATGTGGGGGATAGCAAGAGAGCAAGGCCACCAAGAAAGGAAAGGAGACTAAAGACAACACAGTCCGGAGGGGGAGTGTGGGAAGCATAAGAGGTTCAGGATAGCCACTCCCTAGGATCTCCCAGGGTACATCCACTAGTTGCAGTAATATAGATTTAGCCTGGCAAGATTCTGTCTATATGGTATAAGCAAATAAAGGAACTTAACTCAATTGGACAGTTTCACCATTGTTTCTTGGGCTGAGCCTGACACCACTGCTGTTCTGCATAGGTTTGAACCCCCTCAGCCAAATAATGACAAGGACTGGATACAGACACAAGTTCAAGAGTGGAACTACCATCACCCACCTCATCTACATGGATGACATTAACTTGCATGCTAAGAGTGAATGAGACATCGACTCACTGACCCACCTGTCAGAGATCTACAGTGAGGACACTGCGATGTCATTCAGACTGGAGAAGTGTGGCCAGATGGTGGTAAAGAGAGGGAAGGTAGTTAAGAATGATGGGGTGGAAGCAGGAGATATAGCAGACATATAGACCAGCTACAAGTACCTTGGTATCCCACAGTCACATAGGAACCATTAGGAGGAGGCAAGAAAAACACCAAAATCCAAGTACCACCAAAGGATAAGACAGGTCCCAAAGAGCTAGCTCAGTGGGAAATAAGATCCATGCCATCAACACATATACCCTGCCAGTCATCAGATACCCTGCCAGTATAATGAGCTGACCAAAGGAGGACATGGAGGCTGCTGATGTGAAGACCCAGAAGCTCCTCACAATGTACAGAGGTTTCCACCCCAAGTCCAACACCCAGAGATTGTACACCATCTGCAAAGAGGGTGGGCAGGGTCTAGTGAGCGTCAAAGCCACTGTCCTGGACAAAACCCAGAGCATCCAGGAGTACATCAGCAAGAATGGCACTCAAAAATGAGCTGCTGAGAGAATGCCTGAGGCAGCAGCAGATATGGGAGGAAGTTCAAGAAGAGGAAGTGCCATGGCAAGACGAGACCTGCATGGGATGTACCATCAACAGAAAGCTGAGGTGGCTGACATTGGGAAATCCTATCAGTGGCTGGAAATGGCTAGACTAAAAGACAGCACTGAGGCACTGATCATGGCAGCATAAGAACAGGCACTAAGCACCAGATCCATAGAACCCAGGGGTCTACCACACTAAACAGGACCCAAGGTGCAGACTATGCAGAGAGACCTCAGAGACAGTCCAATACATAGTTGCAGCGTTAAGATGCAGGCAGGTACAGCATACATTGAATGGCACAACCAAGTAGCTAGCACTGTGTACAGGAACATCTGTACAGTGTATGGGCTAAACCCTCCCAAGTCCAGATGGGAGATTCCACAGAAGATTGTGGAGAATAACAGGGCTAAGATCCTGTGGGACTTCCTGATCCAGGCAGACAGACAAATACTGGCCAACCAACCAGACATTGTGGTTGTAGACCAGGACCAGAAGAC